CAGGGGCAAGCAGGGCTGGCACTGGCAGCAAGTGCAAGCACCAGTAGCGTGCAGGAGTAAAGAATTTTCAATAACCACCAGAGCCTCGCCCCGATGGCAGCGACCAGTGCCCCACCTTGGTCTGGCACCCCTACTCACCTGCTCCACCATCCCACTGCGGCGGACACCAGCCATGTTCCGTGCACACCCCCTGGTGGTCAGCGCATGTCATAGTGACCGGTTGTTTGGTTGTTCCACCACTAGGTCTATTTGCATATTAGGGTTTTAATTATACAGGTTTACTCAAAAATGCAAGATTGTATTTAGAAAAGATGACACAGTATAGGGAAAATTTATATCCTCATTTATTTATCATGAAGGTCTTTATTGAGTTAATAGACCATGAAATCAATTGATTTACCGGTAGGTATTCTATGCATGCATGGGGAAAAAACAGCAGTTGCCATCAGGATTGATTCTTGTTTTTATTGCTACATTTAAAAAATAAGTAATCAGACTTAACACTTCCATTGTTTGAAACAAGAATGGACAAAGCATGTTTCTTGATATATTTTAACATATGAATGCTGGCAGTATTTATGAAATAGCTGGAAAAAACAAGGGTTTTGAATTTCACTAGGATTAAATCCAGCACTGCCACCTTCCAGCCAAATGACGGCTGAGAGTCTCAGTTCTCCCATATGGACACCAGATATAACAACACCTACCCCATAAAGATGTTATAGTGTTAAAGGAGATGATGGATAATTAATATTCGTTTTCTTATTTCATTTTTTCCTGCTTAGACTTGATAATAAATAAAAATTATTATAGATTTCATAGCGATGATGACTGCTATTTATAATTTTTATTATTGAGGTTGACTAGTCACTCATAAATATCACTCAGGAACGGGAAAGTTTCTTTCCTGAAGGTTAAACCTTATGAGAAATGTGAAATTTCTATTTTGTTGTTGTTATGATTTGTAAAGTGATTAGTTCTACAGGCAAGTAATTCATTTTTTGCAAACCCTGTTCATTCTCTTCAGATTATTGGATGGTAACAAGGTGTATTTATTTTTTGGTTTTTTTTGAGAGGTATATTCCTTAGAAGCAAGGGTCAGTGGGGATGTCCTATAAACATAAAAAGAGTTCAATGGCTAACCTAGTTTGATTATATCTGTCTTTTGGCTAATTATAATGTGTATTAGCTAGACTGTACAGACCCTGATAACCGTAACTCTTTTTTTGAGCAATACCTATTAACAATCTGAGGAAAGAATATTTCAAAGAGCATCTTGGAAAATTTAGCCTTTATTGGAATAGAATTTTGCCTTTATTGCTGAAACTCTTCTACTGAGTGCTGCTTTACAAAAATCATGGTGAAAACTTGGGCCTGAGTTAATTCCCAAAAGTCCTTCTGGCTGTGATCCAGCTGTGTGTGACTGTAGATTAGGCATTGAGAGGTGAGCTCCCCTGCACTTAGTGGAGTCTGGGTGATCTCCAGGTTTTATAATTGGCTGTTACTTCCTCTATACAATCTCCCTAGATGGTTTTATTCTCTCCCATGGTTTCAGTCTCCAGCTTGATTCTCTTCTACAGTTACAGCTGAGATTACTTTTCTGATGTCAGATTTGGATATTCAATTGGCAACTTGTCATCTCCATTTGAATATTGTAGAAATATTTCAGATGTTTCATGTCTCATACTGAATAAATCATCACTTGTTCTTCTTCTTACCAAGCCCCACTTTTCCATTCTCTACCCTCATTGGGACTACCCTTCAACCTATTGCTCAGATCAGAAACTTGAAACCTCCCTGCCCTCTGCTTCTCCATTCTGTGTATATTTTATTTTCATTCCCCACACATTGCCAGTGAATAGATCCTGATGTTGTGATTAAATATCTCTAGATTCTTCTCTTTATTTTCCCCTCTGTCTGTCAATATCCAATTCCAACTTTTGGAATTTATTGCTTGAAGAGTGTAAAAGTGTCCTAACTAATCCCTTCCTAGCTAATCCTGCTAAGGTACAAGTTTCATACTACCAACAGTGAGCATTTAAAATCAAACTTGAGCATGTGATCCCTTGCTTAAAATATTTAAATGTCCTCATTGCCTTCAGTTGGTTCCAGAACTTTGGCTTGATATGCAAATCCCATTACATTATTGCTTCTAGCTACTTCTTGAGGCACATGCTTTCTAATCTTTGACATGAACCTTACACTGAGGCCATACTAACCTACCTGCAGGTCTGAGTTAACAAATGTACCATATTCTTTTTTGCTGTGCCTTTAAATGAAATTATCTCCTTTCTTTTCTTTCTGATTTTTTTCTGAGGCTCAAGTTTCATGTCTTAGGATGCCTTCTCTGTCTTGCTCAGGTAGTCTTAAGTGTCCTTTCTTTGTGTTTTCATAGCAACCTATGCACCCTTATTTCCTATCTGAAATGGACTTTCAGAATAGAAAAAAAAAATTGCTGCTCTTGCAAGTTTGGCTCAGTGGATAGAGCGTTGGCCCTTGGACTAAAGGATCCGGGGTTGGATTCCGGTCAAGGGCATGTACCTGGGTGGCAGGCTTGATCTCGGGCTCCAGGTCTGGTTAGTGCGGGAGGCAACCAATTGATGTGTCTCTCTCACATGGATGTTTCTCTCTCTCTGTCTCCCCCCTCCCTTCCACTCTCTCTAAATATCTATGGAAAAATATCCTCTGGTGAAGATGAAAAAACAAACAAAAACCCTAAAAATAAAATTTGCTTAAATTGAATATAAGCAGTTAATAGTAATTAATATCCACCTTTCATAATTACAGTCAAAGCAGTAGCCAGTACTTTATTATAATGCTTTATTTTTTGAAGTTTTATAGCACTTATAATTGAATAATTTAAAATCTAATTTGAATTGAATTTGACTTGAATATAACCTTTTTGAGAGAGTATGACTTTCTAAGTTATATTTTTTTCTCATGCTGCTTATTTATTTTATCCTCTTCTAGAGCTTGGTTTCATTTAAAGAACTTATGCAGTATATCATGCAGAAAGCTAAAGCTATTTGTCAATTTTTGTTATATATATATATATTTGTTATATATATATATTGATTCCTGGTAGATGTAAGCAAATAATAGATCTTTTATCAATTATGTGTATTTATTTCACTAATAAAAATGTTAATTGCAGTAGTAAGAAATTAGAGATATAAATAAGCCCATGTAGGACTTACAGTCTAGTGAAAGTTAAAGAGTATGCATATTGATTACAATTAAAAAAGTAAAATCTTTTAAGTCTCTGTATAGAATGCACAGTTTTAAGCTTAAGAACATTCCATTCAAATAGGTCTTTTCCTGTCAGCACTTCATTCATTTTTTATTCATTCAACACATACATATTGATTCTCTGTAGCATGCTCAGCACTCTGCCAAGTGTACAAGAAGCAATTGAGCAGAATCAGACCACAGATCTTACAGAGTGATGCAAAAGGCATAGTATTTAAAGCTGCAATTCTGATCATTCTTACCAAGGATAGCTGTGTAGCGTTATTTAGGTTTATAGAAGGAGCCTTAATTGTTGTAAAGATCAGGGAGCTCAGGGATTTGAAAGGAAAGTGGATATAAAGTAGGG